CCACGATCACATGTTGCTCTGCCCTCTGTGTGCTCTCTCCTTACTCCTACTTACAGATGTGGAGACTGAGGCTGGGCAGATGCCCAGAGTCCCTGCTTGTTTTACAGAAGAGGAAACGGGCATGTGTCCTTCTTCCGGTGCAGGGCCCCCCACACCAAGCTCACCCGGCAGCCCTGGAAAAGGCTCTGCTCACACACTCAGTACTTCTGAGACCGGCCTCTTTGTTATGCTGGGGACTTGAGAGGGGCTGAAACCTCAGGGCCCCTCCCCAGCCCCGCATGGACCTCAGGAACCCTTGCCTGCAGGTCAGCTCCTGGAGAGGGGCATGGGGCGGGGGGGTGGGGGGGCTGTGCCCAACCCAGGAGCAGCAACCTACTCAGTTTCTGTGTGGGAGCATGTCCCAAGACCCCACAAAAGAGTGGCCTCTGGGGCCAGGCAGCCTGGCTTCAAGCCCTGTTTCTTCACCTGTTCACCCCACAGGCCTGCTGTGGGGACAAGATGAGGTGGTTCGCGCAGGGTGCTCAGGGCAGGGCCCTGGCATTGTTGCCCGTCAGTCCCTGTGCAAAGGGCCTGCGGCAGGTTACCTGTCATTACCTGCTGCCTTCCCGCATCCCCGGCTTTCGTGAGGGTCAAATGAGGTAGCAGTAGGAATCAGTCTACAAAAGATCAAAGCGGGAGCTTGTTATTTTGGCAGCAGCGTGGATTCAAGGAGGGCAAAGCCGGGAAAATGAGCTGTGCTGATGCTAGCAGGTCCTCCTCCTGCAGAGGGTTCTAGAACCCCAGGGCTGGGAGCCCTGGTCGATGGCCAGTTCTCAGCCAGGCAGTGTGGGCTGGGAACCACAGGCAGACACGGACAGTGATGGATGGGGTGGCCTGTTCCGGCACATTCCGTGTTCTTTCCCACCAACTCCGCCTGGCCTTGGAGAGCTGCTTCCTCTGTCGATGGATTAGTGACATTTCGCTGGGAACTGGATACCCGTCTGGGAAAGACACAGGGTGTCCCTCGGGCCCTGGGAGCACAGGGTCTGGGAATGTTCTTTAGTGCTGGGAGCAGCGGGCAGGGGGCGGGGAGCTCTGACCGTGAGCTGGAGCAGGAAGCCGGGATCCCGGGGGCTGGAGAGGACAGGGCGCTTTTGCCCACCCTCTCCCCTCTCTCTCACTAGGATGTCGTGAATCGGCTCCTGCACACTCAGACGATATTAAGACACCAGCCACTCAGGAACCAGCAGGCCCCCATCCCTTGTGCATCCATGGTGGGAAAGACAACAAAGAAACCCCTGTAGCGGGTGGGGGACAGCCCGTTAGAAGATGGATAAGCGCGGGGGTCCGATGGCCAGGGCAGGCCTTGGTCTGCCTCTCACAGGCTGGTGACCTTGGAGAGCCAACACCTGGGCCCTGACAGCGCTTTCTGGGGACACTGTGTGGACGTGCAGGGCACTAGCCCAGCTCCAACGGGGCCTGAGGACACCTGAGAGTGGACACTGGAGGAGGGAGGGGACAAAGAATGGAGAGGGAACGAGTGTCTTGTGGGGCTGGCCCAGGTTTACAGGGGGCGGTTCGAACTTGTGGGAGCTCTGCCCTCTGAGCCGGCTCATGCTGGCCCCCTCAGCAGCCTTGGTGGGAAACGGGAAAAGGGTGGCCCTCTCACTGGCACCTAGAAGCCAACAGTAGGGCCCTCCCCTGGACTCTCCCATTCCCCCATGCCCTGGCCGCTCCTGCTCTCACTGGCTTATGGGCATAGGGTCCCTCCTAGACGTCCCTACGCTGGCTGCCTTGGGCAGGAAGGTTGTGTGAGAGCTGCTGGGGGTCTGAGCCTCCCAGTGAGTCTGGGGGGACCCCGAGCAGCCTTAGCTCAGTATGAGGCCTTGAAGTGGGGCAGAGCAGGAAGCCAGCACAGGGAGAACAGAGTTACCCCTGTCTGGTGGCTCCTTAGAGTGTAGAGAGGCACCTGTGTTTGCCCTGGGGGTAAGGCCTGGTGAAGCCCATGTGCAGGGAAGCCGCTGACGGGGTTTAGGCCAGAGAAACCATGTGCGCACTCCAGACCCGCCCCAGCTGCTGTGCAGAGCCCTCAGTGGCTCCCGCTGCCGTGCAGGCATCTCCACTCGCCAGCCCGGCCCCAGCTGGCCTTCCTTCCCGATTTTTCTGTGCAGCTAGAGGCCCTGAGCACTCGCCTCTGGCCTTTGTGCTCTGTTCTTGCCCACAGTGCTGGTCCTCCTCATCTCCACACCACCTCTGCTCTGCTCCTTTCCAAGGCGGGGTCTGTGCTGCAGGCAGCCTCGAGAGCAGGGACCCAGCACAGGAGTTATAAACCTTTTCCGCATTTCACTGAGTGCTCCTCTGTGCAGACCCTTCACCTGATCTCATCGAACCTCCAGCTGCCCCTTATGGAGGCGCGGAGATGAGGTAACTTGCCCTAGGTCACATTGCCCGGAGGGAAATAGAGCCAGGACTCAAACAAGATTCGAGAAAGACTCATGAGCTCCCGTGTGGCGCACCTATGGTCCTAGCATGCTCAGGACCCACAATCCAGGCAGGAGCTGGGGCAACATGATGCCTCTTCTAAAAGGAGAAGGGTGCCTGTGGGTGACAACCACGAACCCCTGCAAACCCATGTGACTGCAGGGAGGCACCCATACTTGCTGTGTGCCCTTGGGCAGATTACCGCACCTCTCTGTGCCTGCGAAACAGGGTTTTGGTGAGAATAAAAGGAGTGATGACTGTCCAGTGCCGAGAGCAGGACCTGAACCTCTCCTACGCAGACAGATGGCCTTGCGCCTGCCTCCCTCTCCTTTTCACCCAAGGTTGCTGGGCACCAGCGGAGCTCTGCCTGCTCCAGCCTCAAGTCCCAGCAGGCACTGTGGCATGAGTGTATCCTGAGCCCGCTCTCGGGCTGTGGAGATAGTGCGACGTGTCAAGTTGTCCTGCCTGGACCCTTCCTCCGCCTCTCTCTGACCATTGAGGGTCCTGTTAACAAGCTCCGTGTAGGAGTGTCAGTACGTTGAGTGGCCTCCCCAACGGGGTTTTCCTGTATCGGCTTTTCTGGTCTGTTTAGTCTCTGAGGCTTCCGCCAAACCCCAGTGTGGAAGGGCTTTGGAAAGTCAGAACAGGCCTGCGGCCCGTGTCCCAGGTTGGCATCCGAAATACCCTTCCAAGCATGCTGGTGGCACTGCCTGCCCTGGGGTGGCCTGGTCAGATGAAGGGCTGGCCAGGACAGCCTGCACCCTTAGGGGTGGCCCAAGGCCCACGACGGCCAGCCACGCTTGCCTTCTTTGGTTGTCACCAGGGACTGGCCACCGGCCCTGCAACCAGGCATGGTGTTGACGGGCCCCACAGCTGCAGTGCACATGTGCCCAGCCATCAGCCTCCTGACAGGCTGGCTGTGGGAAGGGGGAGCGGGGTGCCCGGCGGGAGGGAGGCCAGCGGCTGCAGCTGAGTGGACAGCAGGTGCTGCGAGGCTGGGTGACGGCTGATTCTGGCTGCTTCCCTCCGTGGGCCCAGCAGGGCGGGGGCTTCCCTCTTACCCCCCAGGACCCTGGAGTGTGGAGGACTGTGAGAGCCCCTCCCTGGTGCTGCAGACGGGTGGGCATCTCCTCTCTGTGAGGGGGAGGTAGGGAGAGATGAAGGGAGGTTTGCACAGCATTGAGCATGAGATAATGGTCATGCCATTTGTGAGCATTATTAATCACCATCCCCAGAGGCGGGCCACCCCCCACACACATGTCTATGTGTCTGCCCTGAGCAAGGGGCGAATGGGGGGAGAGCAGAGGGAAAAGAACTGTAGCCGCATGGTGACTGCTAAGGGGCATTGAGCCTTGACGGCGGTTCTGCCCCACCATCTCCCTGGCTCTGGATGAGACCCCAGCAGCGTTAGCAAGATGAGCTCAGGGCAGGGTGGGCTGCGCCTCCTTACGTAACAGGTAGAGAAGATCCACCTCCATGGCCCTGAGCAGCTGGGCCATCCGAAATCCCAGCCTCTGCTCCCAGGTCTTTGTGGCCTACGCGGGCAGGCCCTGGCTGACCCTGTGTTAAGATGGAGCAGGAGGTCCAGTGCTCACCCCCTTCCACCTTAAAGAATGCCCAGGCAGCTGCTGGCTCAGGGTCTGTGTGTTTGGCCAGAGTAACTCGGAGGCCTTTTCCACTGCATCCTGCTTTGTGGGGCCGGGAGCTCAGGCCCAATCCAGGTTTCATTTTGCCTCTTCCACCCTCTCCCCACGCAGCTGGCCCCTAGCAGAGCATCAGACCACAGAGGACTTTTGACCGTTTCCAGGGCCTCAACCCTTGAGCTACAGACCACACCTTGAGTGGGCAGACTGAGGCCGGCCTGAAACTGACCATGTCCCCAGCCTGGCTGCTCCCAGGAATTGCCCAGGGCCAGGAGATGGTTAAAAAGGAGTTTCCACCACCCCATGTCTCCTGAGAGACCCCCATTCCAGCCTAAATGGGGCCTCAACCCACTGCAGCAGCCTCACCTGGGGCCCTGATGGAAACACAGATGCCCACGCCACACCGGCTTAATCAGAAATGGGGGTGGGGAGGCCGGCATGTGCATCTGAACAGGCCCTTCAGGAAGTGCTGGTGGAGGCTGCCTCAGTGGGTGCCGCCCGACTCCCGGGTCCGCAGTACCAGAGCGCCCACCACCCCCAGCCCAGGGAGGATCCAAGCCCCCATGCTGGCCGGCCTAGGGCTCTTGCAGCCTACCTGAGATGGGCTGACCCAAGCCCACCCTCTGTCCCAGGTGGGTGAGATATCAGCCACCTGTGAACACACCTGGGGCTTATCTGGGATTGGCCAGGCCCTGGGGCCGGATCTGGCTTTGTGGGCAGAGACGGAGCCACCTTGGGTCCAGCTGGGTAACCTCCACCTGGGTCCCCAGCAGCACAGTCTCAAACCCAGCTGCTGGGGGCCGGGCTTTCCAGGCACGAGGTGTGGCTGGGGAGGTGCTGCCCCCTCCCCTCTCCGCCTGCTTCACTGGCTTTCTCTTCTTCTCCCCTCCCCGCACCCCGCACAGCAGTGGACAGGAAGGAGAAGAAGGCTGCCGAGATGCCTGACTCCCCCGCGGAGGTGAAGACGCAGCCCCGGTCCACGCCCCCCAGCATGCCGCCCCCTCCACCCTCTGCGTCCCAGGGCACCACACGGCACTCCTTCACACCCCACACAAGTGAGTAACTCCGGGGCCGGGCATCACATGGGGCAGAGCAGAGAGATCTCTGGGGCCCTTGAAGTTGCTGAGGTGCCAAACCTCATTTCATGCGAATAGAGCCGGAGCTCCGGTTCCTGTGCCCTAAACCCTGAAACATCCACCGTTGGGCCCTTGAAAGGGGGGGCCCATCATGGCTCAGAGGCCAAGCTTTGAGGTTCAAATCCCAACTCTTCCACTTCGTAGCTGTGGGCCCTTGTGCAAGCTACACAACCTCTCTGGGCCTCACATTCCTCCTCTATACAGCAGAGCTGGCCATAGCCCCTGCCTCGCTGAGCTGCTGTGCAGACCAGTGAGTTCATAGCAGTTCCTACCCAGTGGCCGGCATATCATGAACAGTCCATCAACGTTGGCTGTTATGTTGGAACTCGGAGGGGGTCGGGGCTTCCCCGTCAGACAGCAGGTGACGGAGTGCAGGTGAACTCAGTCAGGCCTGCGCCCGGCTGGAGAGCCGGCAGAGGCAGCTCTGGTCTCCGAGGAGCTCCGCACGGGCTCTCATACCAGGGGCTCTGCAGCCAGGCCCCCGTGGGGGGTGCAGATTGGCCAGAAACTGGGGTCAGCAGGGCCTCAGCTGCCAGCAATGTGGTGGGTAGAACAGACCCTTAGGCAGTGCCTCGCCAGCCGTGGGTGCATCCAGGTTGAGCGTCTCGACCCTCACAGCAGCTCTGGGTCCTCCAGAACCCACCGCCGCTGCTGGAGTCTGTTCCTTAGAGTCAGAGCAGTCGGGGACGCAGGGATTTGGGTCCCTGAACAGTTGGGAAGGAAATGCTCAGGTTTGGGCCAGGGGCTTGGCAGTGTGTCCTAGGGTTTCTGATGGGCATTCGAGAGAATCCGTGCACCACCTCCGCACCTCAGGACCCTTCCCAGGCTTTGAAACCCAAACGAAGCCTCTGGTGTGGCAGGAGCCAGACTCCTTAGCCCAGTGATGGCGAACCTATGACACGTTTGTCAGAGGTGACACGCGAACTCATTTTTTTGGTTGATTTTTCTTTGTTAAATGGCATTTAAATATATAAAATAAATATCGGAAATATAAATCTTTGTTTTACTATGGTCCCAAATATCAAAAATTTCTGTATGTGACACGGCACCGGAGTTAAGCTAGGGTTTTTCAAAATGCTGACACGCCGAGCTCAAAAGGTTCGCCATCACTGCCTTAGGTTGTGGCTCCTGGTCCTCACTGGGCTAAGAAGTAAGAGCAGCTGTCTCCAGCCAGGACCCATAGCTCTGTCCAGAGCGTAGGGTGAGCCACAAGACCGGTCTAGATCTCTGTGTCTGGACACAAAGGGCGCTGGGTGTGCCACCCAAGGCTGGCCCCAGGTTCGTGGCCCAGCCTCCCTCAGGAAAAAGGCATTGGCTGTGGGGTCAGGCTCGGCCCCTTATTTGTAGGATATTGGCTTAAGCCAGTCTCCTGACCCTCCGAGCCTCAGTTTGATAAATGGAGTGATATCACCTGCTGCCATGTGTGGCAGCCTGAAAACACGGACATCTCAACACACAGTAGGAGCTTAGTGACCAATACCCTTCCCTGTACCTTCTCTTGGCACAGAAGGTTCCGGCTCCCCCTTTCTAGCAGGTCTTAGCTAGGGTCCCCATGCATCACAGAGACTGGAACAGGTCCTCAGCCCTGCCTCCTGCTCCAGGACGGGCCCAGGGCAGCGGGCTCTCACTCCACAGTTCTCAGCCCACAGGTCCGCGTCTGCCTTTGTCAGCCACACTAGAAGGGGCCAGAGGCTGGGCTTTCTCACACACACAATTCTTGCATGGCACTGGCCGCCTGGTCACCCTGCCCTCTCTTTTGGCAGAGTCAGTCCTCACCTCTGAGTGGAACGCAGGCCATCTCCATCTACTCAACAGCTGCCACCCCATCAGGGCCCCATAGGTAGAAAAGGGGGGCGTGAGTTGTATTTAACTTCACAGCCTGCACCTCAGTCAGGGAGAAAAGAAATTACTCCTGCAGGGCAGCAGCAGCTCCCAAGGAAAGGCCATATGCCACCACCTAAGGCAGTGGTTCTCAACCTTCCTAATGCCGCGACCCTTTAATACAGTTCCTCATGTTGCGGTGACCCCCAACCATAAAATTATTTTCATTGCTACTTCATAACTGTAATATTGCTACTGTTATGAACCGTCATGTCATTCTCTGATAGGCAGGATGTATTTTCATTGTTACAAATTGAACATCATTAAAGCATAGTGATTAATCACAAAAACAATATGTAATTATATATGTGTTTTCCGGTGGTCTTAGGCGACCCCTGTGAAAGGGTCGTTCGACCCCCAAAAGGGTCACGACCCACAGGTTGAGAACCGCTGCCCTAAGGTGACAACCCACCTCGTGTTCGGTTCCAAGCAGGAGAAGCCAACAGACACTTGACGGTCAGGCCAAGGCTCTGAGGCTCATGGGCACATGCGTCTCCCTCAGCCTACTTTTCTCCAGGAGCCCATGTTCCAGAAAGCAATGGTCTGGGAACCAGATGTTTCAGGTTGGGGACAGGGCTAAGGTCAGCTGACACCACCCCCGTGTGCTTGCAGGAGGCCTGTGAACAGGTGTGCGTGTGGGCAGAAGGCCTGCGTGCGGCTCAGGGTGCTCCCCTGACACCCTCCCATCCCCGTGCGCCCCCAACACTGCGGGCTCATGCTCCTGGATTCGAGGTCCCGGCTCTATTTAGAGCACAGAGGTCATAAGAGACAAGTAATTCTTTTCTAAGCTGATGCTTTAGTTTCACGGGGCTGCTGGGGCCGTCTCTCTGGGTGTCAGGCCACCTCTAGGTGGCCTCAGATTTGTTTCCTGCCCAAGAACTCCCTGAGAGCGGGCGGTTAACCGTGTCCATGCACCGGGCTGGTGGCAGCCTGAATGGACGGGGCCTCTGTGCTCAGCCTCGGATTCCTGCCAAGTCTGTCCAGCTTCCCTGGGACCAGCCTGTGAGCCAAGCTGACCAGAGGCTGACCTTGAACCAGGGCTGGAGGGCTGTGGTTTTCTTGCCCAGTGACCGCCCTAGGCACAAATTCATTTTGGAGTTGAAGCTGTGGTGTGCTAGGGAGATGGACAGGGGCGCTGAGAGAACTCTGGGAAGGAATGTCAGGAGCTACTCTGCAGCTGGGAGGACCCTCAAAGGGCTAACACTCCAGCCTGCCCTTGATTACCCCATGTGACAGGGGGCTCACTTTCTGATTACAGCAGCATAGCCTGTCTCCTCTGGCCTCCTGCTCACTAATTCCAGCTCAAACAAATCAAATCTTCTTTCCTGTTTGGTGCTTCCTCCCCTCATGGCAGTTCGGTCCTGAGCTTCGTTTTGGAACCAGCATTGGGTTGTCTGTCGATGGAGACCCCTAGCCCTGATTCATAAGTCAGCTCAGGCTCCGGGTCCCTTGAGGATGGTGCTGAGTGGGGTCAGCAGGCGCCTTCCAGGAAGAGAACATTTTAAGAACCAGGTACCCCACTCATGCAGATAGAGATGCCAGAATTCTTGTAGGCCCCTGGAAGGTCCCACCAGAAATGTCCTTAAGAGATCCCATAATCAAGCCCCATCATGTAACAGAGAAAGCTGAGACCTTCAGAAGGGAATGACTGGCCTAAGGTGGTGACAGTCCCAATCCCCAAAACTGCTGTCATACAGCAGAGAGGGGAGGGGCCGATTGAGGCACCCCGCAGGGCAGAGCCACCTGCCCATGGCCCCCTTCCTCACAGAGTGTTTTTCTTATTTTGCTTACAGATCGAGAGGACGGGCCTGCGATGTCCCTGCCCCACGGCCGTTTTCATGGCTGCTTAAAATGGTCTATGGTCTGTCTTTGTAAGTAAAATAACAAAAACCACAGGCCTCCCAGGAGGTCCTCACCCGCACCTCTGCCTAGGAAGGCCTTGACGATGACCCCACTTGCCTACACAATCCACTATTGCGTCTGCATGTCAGTGAGGTCTGAGGAGAGAGGTCCGAGGGGCAGACCCAGGAGAGCAGAGCAGCCGGAGTCCTCAGACCCAGTCACCTCCCAGCCTTGCTCCTCACGACTTGTGTGACGTTAGGCAGGTGGATACCTTCTGTGTTCCTTTTTCCCCGATCCACAAAACAGGGCGGATATGGCCGATCCCAGCGTTGTGAGAAGGTAGAATGTCAATGCCAGTCCGTAGCTTAGCAGCTCAAGGGCAGACCCCAGCCTGAGTCAGATCCCAGCTCCAACTCTTCCCAGTGGGGCGACCTTGGGCAGGTACCACCATCTGTGCCTCAGTTTCCCCACCTAGAAGTCGTCATATGCTGCTGGTGGAGTCGGCGGGAGGCCTGGCACATACTGGGTGCTCAGTGGACATTATGGTCACTAGTGGACATTTCCGTCAAAGTGCTCAGGTCACAGCCGATGTCCATAACAGGAAGTTTTCATGGAGCGATGCTCAGAGTGTTGTCAGCCAGCGTCAGGACAGGCACCCACTGCAAGCCGGTTGGACTGCACAGCCCAGGCGTGGCTGCCGCGTAGCTCCCGGCTCCAGGAGGAGGTGACATAACGATTGTGCATTATTTATGTCCTGTGATGCGTGGTCCTCCTCGCCATTATTCTGTGATGCCTGGCCTTGCTCTTGGGTCCGGCCGTCGCTGCGCTGCAGCGCTATCAGGACAGTGTGATTCCCAGCCCCAGAGCTGCTTCTGCAGCAGGGAGAGGGGCTGGCAGGGAGGCTGCTTGTTGGTTCATCATCCTAGCCTGACCCCCGCCCAGGCCCAGGGCTGGGGAGCTGCGGGGGTGCTAGTGTGTGCCCCCAAACCTCAGCCGGGGACACGTGTGCGGTCTAACTTAGTAACACACCTGTTGTGGAATGAAAGCACTTGTGGCCGGGGGTTATTTTCGGCGTCTCTTTAGCAAGCTGCTGAGACTGCCCGGCAGCCTGAGGGAGGGAGCACGGGCCAGCGAGGGCAAGCAGGCCTCCGGGAGGACCCAGGCACCGAGGGCAGGCTGGTAAGGGAGCTGCAGGGAGGCTGGGCCCAGGCTGGGCCAGGGGCCGTGGGTGGGAACCCAGGAAGCATGGACAGCCACACATCTTAGAAGCCTCTGGAAGGTCCAGACCCCAGGTGATAGCCCAACTCTGCCACTCGGAATGAGCCCCCCCACCGCGGAGAGGTCTCCCGTGGCAGTGGGCCATCTCCTGGCCTGGCTGGTGTGACCGCTGGTGGCCGTCATCAGTCTTGACCAGGGTGTGTGTGTGTGTGTGTGTCAGGGTCCGCCGTGGGGTTGGCTGGAGCTCGCTGGTGAGACAGAATATTAGCACAACAGTGGAGTCTTCTGGTCTGTCCAGGGTCCTCTGGATGATGCCTCAGACGGGGGGAGGACGGGGCCTCTTCCTGTCCTGTGTTTGGAGTTCTCTCTTCATCCCAGAGTGAGAGGGAAGGCTGAGCAAGGCGCACCTCCCTGCGGGACTATTCCAGCGCTGGTGTCACTTCTAGGGTCCAGAAGGCGCTCCTACGATCATCCAGACCAGGGAGGCGGACAGGTTTCCACGTGTATTGTGTCAGCCCTGCCTCATCAGTGGTTTCCAAACTTCTGCTAAGTGGGGGCCAGTTATTGATGAGTGATCACCCACATGTGAAAGCAATCAAGGCCAAGCGTTTCTGGCTCCTTCCATGGGTAGAAGAACAAGCGTGGTTCTCTCAGCCGCAGAAGCCGGGTGCAGAAGGGCCCAGCACTGTGGAGTGGGGAAGCTCCGCCCCTGGTTTGGGCCAGGGATCATTTGCATATAAAGAAACCAAGGCCAGGCCCCAAGTCTCACTCCCATCTAAGCTACTGCAGGTGGTATAGGGCCTCAGGCAGGGTGCCCACTCCCAACCCCCATGCCAGGAGTGCCCACAGGTGTAGGACGAGGGAGCAGGCAGATGAGCATACAAGGGGTTGAGTATAAGAACAAGAGTGAGCTAGCTGCCTGGAGCAGGTGCCGGTGTGGTAGCCAAGGACGCAAGGTGTGAGCGGCTCCCAGGTGTAGCAGTTGAGCCTCAGGCCTCCCAGAAATATCCAGCTTCCCCACCCTGAGTCCCCTCCACCCTTACCAAGGGCCCTGGAAGCCTGTGATCTCTGACCTCTCTGTAGACCCTGGTGGTCATCACTAGGGTTTCTGAGGCTAGGGGACAGGGATGCAGGTGATCAGGCACAGAGGGCTCCCTCGCCTTCAGTGTGAGAGCTTGTCACCCAAGCCTGAGGGAGGAGGTGCTGTCCTGGGACCATTTCCCAGCACCCCTGGCCTCTGCCAGCCCTGGGACACCCTGGATGATACCGCCAAGGCCTGGGTAACTCACAGCCCTGCTCCTGGGGCCCCTGCAGTGTGTGCATGTGGGTCCCTTAGGTAACTTGCTGGTTCTCCACATACAACCTCTGCAGCAGCACCCAGCCCAGGGGCTCCCCTGCCAGGATCCAGCCCCACTTGTCCTGGGGTGTCTGGGTCCCTCTGCCCCACCCGAGTCCCATCAGCACAGGGGTTGGAGCCCTTGTGTGGGCGATGGCACCTGATTGGGAGTGGGCACCTCGCAGGGCTGTCATGGTGGAGAAGGGTGGAGGAGTGGTCTCCCCCGAGGAGAGGGGAGTGGGCCAGCAGGTCCCTAATAGTGGAGAAGCCCCTGTGTTCACAGTAGACACTGAGCAGCCTGGGCGGTGGAGGGTCTGACCAAGTAGCCCCGACTCCCTGAGACCTGGGACGAGGCTCCACCTTTCCAGGCCCCGGATTACGCATCTGTAAAGGGTGTGGTGCTCCCATGGCATCCCGGTGACTCTAGGCAGGGACCCTGGCTCTCTGCTGTGCTCCTCACTCCCCTCTCCCCCCACAGTAATGAACGGCAGCAGCCACTCGCCGACAGCCATCAACGGCACCCCATCCACGCCCAACGGCTTCAGCAATGGCCCAGCCACCTCATCCACAGCCTCACTGTCCACACAACACCTGCCCCCAGCCTGCGGGGCACGGCAGCTCAGCAAACTCAAGCGCTTCCTCACCACCCTGCAGCAATTCGGCAGCGACATCTCCCCAGAGATCGGGGAACGCGTCCGCACGCTTGTGCTGGGGCTTGTGGTGAGTGGGGCAGCATGGCCACAGAGGATGAGGCTGCTGAGCGGGAACGCAAGGATACTGGGTCGTGCCCAGCCCTGGGGCCTCCTGCCCTCCTCGGGCTGGGTGGACGGGGCTTGGGCTGATGTGTGGTGGTTTTCTCCCCTCAGAACTCTACACTGACCATTGAGGAGTTTCATTCCAAGCTTCAGGAGGCCACCAACTTCCCACTGCGCCCATTTGTCATCCCTTTCCTGAAGGTAACAGCAAACCCTGCTCCCTCGTGCCAAGGCCTCCCCCAGGAGCCCCAAGTTCATTCTCTGCCAGCTCTGACCAGGCATCATGCTCAGCCATCCAGTACCCAGGGAGCAGCTCTGACTAGTTGCCAGACCAGATTAGTCAGCCACCAAACTCAGTGCTGTAAGAAAGCTCTTCAATCAGTCCTGTTATTATTTACTAAAGGCCCGGTGCACGAAATTCGTGCACGGGTAGGGTCCCTAGGCCTGGCCAGCAATCAGGGCCAATCAGGTTCCCCGCCTCCCAGCCTCCCCGCCTCCACCAGTGCCCAGCCACTGCCTGGTCACCTGGCATGTTCCACACCGCCCCCTGGTGGTCAGCGCACGTCATAGCAAGAGAACGAACTCCCGGTCGAACTCCTAAGGGGACAATTTGCATATTAGCCTTTTATTATACAGTATTGGCCAAAGGCACTTGTCTACTGTACAGCTATTTTTTGAGCACCTATATGTGCCAGGTACTATGCAAGGCTTAGGGAGATAGCAGGGAGCACAGCAGACACAATCCCTTCTGGAGCCAATGGCCTGGTGGGATGGGAGACAGCCAACCAGCAATAGCTATAAATTCTGTGATGTGTGACACAGGAAGGGGCAAATGATGAGGGCTAGGGAAGCGGGGGGAGGGGGGAGGGACCCTGGTGGAGAGCAGGGCACCGAGCCTTCCAAGCATGTGCAAAGGCTCTAGAGAAGGGTGTGCCTGCTATGTTTGAGGGATAGCGAGGGGAAGGGACAGAAGACAGATGGAGGGACAGGTGGGTGGACAGACAGACGGTGGGTGGTATGTTGGTGGAAAGGTGGGTAGATAAACGAATGCTGTCAGATGTGAAAAACAAAAAAAAAAAGGTCGTGTGGTCAAACATCGAAGATAAGCAACGGACCGGCCTCTCAACAGGAGTAGCTGGTGTCTGGTGGCAGCACCAGGGGCTTATGAATAATGCAGGTTCCTGGGCTCGGCCCCGACCCACGGAGTCGGTACCTACATTCCCACAGGGACAAGCACAGGCCTAGACCGTGTTAGACAGAGTCTTCACTCAGTACTTCTCGGGGCCTTCACTCCCCTAAACGAGGGTCACCCCCTCCCAGAAGGGCCAAGAGGAAACAATTGCCAAAGTGTTTGACCCGATGACCCTTTGCTGCCGTGCACCTCCTGAGGTCAGGGTTCCCTGGGGCTCTCATTTCCCAGCCTCTGAGATGCTTCCAGAGTGGGCCCTACTCACCGCACGACCGGGCCCTGGTAGGACAGAGCAGAAGAGACACTCCCAGGTTTGAGCCTTGCTCCTATAGCTGAGCCCCTGTTGGCCTGGGCCAGGCTGGTTCGCCCCTCCATGCCTCATTTTTGCAGCTGTAAAGTGGGAATCATTTTTCAGGCTGTTGGCAAGATTGCATGAAGCAATGCACGTGAAGAATTGGCTTTTGTCATCTGGGGACTTAAAAATGTTTTGCAGACAAGGCATGCTTTGCAAAACACCTTCGACACCACCCCTGCTGGCCCCTAGGATCCCTGTAAGGAGGGGTGGCACAGGCATAGTTCCTGATTAACAGGTGGGGAAACTGAGGCCCTGAGGTCTCCCCACTGGTGGAGAGATGGAGCCAAGGCTGGAACCTGGATCCGCCAGACTCCAAACACCCCCTGCTTTTACAGGGTATGTCCCAGACCCACACCTTGTTCCCTGCAGTCCCTTGCCAAGGGGACCCCACTTTGTGCCCCCACATCTACACCCTCTCTCCCTCCCTCCTTCCTGCCCTTCCGCCCACACCCCACTGAGCTCACACTCCTAAGCTGGCGACAGAGAGGCTGCTGGCATGGAGCAGGGTTTGGGCCCATCTGGCAGTCATTTGCAATTCATTAGGAGCCCTTCCCTTCTCTCTCCTCCTTTCAACTTACTGCTGACTCCACCGCTCCCCATCTTTGGGGACACAGTGCGCCTGCTTATTCTGTCGGATCAAATATTTACAGCAGATGTCCAGCCCGCCCGCGTCAGCTGCCCTTGTTTATCCGAGGAGCAGCGGTAGGGCCAACATCCGCGTCCCCTGCTCTCCCCAGCCAGGCCTTGCCCAATGCCCACTGTGCCTTGCACCCCAGCATCCTCCCTGACACACCCCCATGAGGCACTGGACAGGACATGCCCAGCCTAGCACAGCCTGCTGAGGTATCTCTCTGCCTCAGTTTCCCCTCTGTCCACAGCTGCTCTCATATGCTATTAGGGCTTCTGTGCCTAGATTGCTCTTTCTATAGGGTGAGCGACCTGCCTGCAGCGCCAGGGGCCTGGGATCCCACCCAGGGCCCTGAGTTGACAGGACTATCAAGGACACAGTCCATTCCTCTCACTGACATGCAGCTCCTGGGGGGCAGCCAGTTCTGTTTCCAGGGGTTGTTGACAAGGCCCTGGCCTGTCCCCATGGTCCTGCCCGAGGAACAGCCCCTATCCTCCTTGTTGTAGGAGCTCTGGCCCCTTTAGAACCCAGAGCATTGTGGGGGGTCCCAGCAGGAGTGCCCCCTGCCCGACCGACCCACTGTGTCACCTCCTCTGTGACCTTCACAGGTACAATGGTGCACTAGGCCCACTGTGTGGGCAGCGTGCGGTACCCTGAGGGCAGGGCCCTTGGAGCTGTCGTACTGCAGAGAGGCAGGAACTCTGGCTGAGAATGCAGCTCAGGCTCAAACCCCAGCTCCACCCATGGGCTTTGGGAAGACTCTGGCCTCAGTCCTCTCTCCGTCACAGGGGATGTGACAGCCACCTCACGGGTTGGCATGGAGGAGTTAATTCATAAGAAGCTCACAGGAGCCCTCCGCGTCCAGGACGGAAGGCGCAGGTGCTGTTCACAGCTCCAGTTGCCGATGAGGCAAAAGCCAAAGGAGTTAAGTGACTTCCCCAAGGTCACACGGCAAAGCAGGGGGGGGCTGGCCACGGGCATGCCGTTTGTGGAAGATGTCAGCTCGACTAACACCATTATTGTGGTTGTTTTTGCAAACACTGGTTTCCCTCTGAAACAGAGTTCCCATCTGTGAAGAGGGCAGTTCCAGGGTTTTCTGCAGTGTCAGAACCTTCATTCAGACAGTAGAGTCCAGGTCCAGAGATCTTTGCCACCGGTTTAGTTTGTCCAGCACCAAAGTGGAGAGGCCTCCCTGGCACCTGGGCCTTTGGGGACACAATGGGAACTGCTGCCTGGAGGGATCTGCCAGTCATGGCTCTCCACCGTCTCTACCCATTTCTTCTGGGCTGGGGTCCCTGTTCCCCCACCCAAGGACCCTGGGCCCCCTGCACCCTTTCCTGAGCTCAATGCTGCGCATGGCTGAGTGCTGGGGCTTTCCAGAAGCTGGAAGAGGCTGCCCCGCCCAGCCAGCCTCCACCCTGGTCCCGGCTCCCAGCTGGCCCCAGCCGGCCAAGAATCCAGATGTTTCTACCACCCCAACAGCGACCAGCCGGTGCCTGTGCAGTCCCGCCCTGCTGGCCGGCCAAAGGGAGGTTGCGAGGGAGAGGAGGGGCCAGCCAGGGAGAGGAGGATGTTTGGCGTCTTCAGACCTCCCGGGACCTCCTTCCCCAGCTCATGCTCCTAACATGTTCGCCAGATGGCGGGCTGGCCCGCGTTCAGCTATCCAAACAGAAAAACAGACCTGGCAGCCGGCGCTGCTTGACAAAACTGCATCGGCTGCTTGATTGGGTCCGGGTGTGCTGATGGTTTCTGGGGAGGCAGAGGCAGGAGAAGGCTGTGTGGCAGCTTTGAAACGCCATGAGAAAGTTGGGGAATTGTAATTATTTACAAATACTTAGAACTTGGGCTCTCCCAAGTGGCCTGCTGCTGGGCCTCCATCCAGCCTGCCACCCCCTCCCCCACAACCCCCCTCACCACAGTGGCTCTGGGAAGTCTCTTTGGAAGGCACATGAGGAGCCCGTTGGCCACCCGGCAGGGCATTCTGGGAGGCCCCAGAGCCAGGGCAAGGGCACAGGCAGGAGGGCATAGTTGCTACAGGCAGGATCTGCATTTGAATCCTGTGCATCCCCACGTATCACTCCCACTCTGTGCCCGAGTGTCCTTGCCCATAAATGTGGAACCAGTCACAGTGTCCATCCCTGAAGGTTGTAAGGACCATGGTGGTGCAGCCACAGGCAGTGACACATGCGGCTGCTCAGAGTGGTATGCACACTGATGGGCGTAGCCCCAACGCCAGGCTTCGTTCAAGGCTGTGCAGCGGCTTCCCATCAGCACGTATGGGGGTCCAGAGCAGACACGCTGGGGTCCTGCTGCCAGCTCCTCCAGCTCTAGTTAGCTGTGTGCAGGGCTGCCCACGTCCTCGCTCAGAGCCCTAGTTTCCTTCTCCACACAGCGGGTGATCAGGTGCCTGCTTCCACGGGCGCAGGCAAGGAGCCGTCATCATGGTCCTCTCCTCATCGTCTCCAGATGCCACCATGGGAAGGAGCTCAGTGAAGTGGAGAAGCCCCAGCCTGGGAGACGAGGATCTGAGCTCAGATCCCCTGTACCCCAAATCACTGTGTTCTCTGCGGGGGCACACTCTTACCTAGCCTTCCTGCCTGCCCTCGTACCCAGGTTGTAGTGGAGGAACTTGATATACAGAGAGGTCATGCGCCTCCCCCAGTCACACAGTGAGGCTGCACTCACCCAAAATCACACAGTGAGGCTGCACTCACCCAAAGTCACACAGTGAGGCTGGCCGTCAGCCTTCCTGCCTGGCATCAGAGCAAGGCTGTGCACCCTGTGCCCTGACCCCCATCGTCAGTGAGCCCATGCCCACCCTGTGTCCTCCCCACAGGCAAACCTGCCCTTGCTGCAGCGTGAACTCCTGCACTGCGCCCGCCTGGCCAAGCAGACCCCTGCCCAGTACCTGGCCCAGCATGAGCAGCTCCTGCTGGATGCCAACGCCTCTTCCCCCATTGACTCCTCGGAGCTCCTGCTGGAAGTCAATGAGAACGGCAAGCGGAGGACACCTGACAGGTACTTGGAGGTGTCTGCAGCCGGGGAGGTGGAGTGTGGGGAGACAGTGAAGGGACCAGTTGGCTCTGGTGCCACAACTCACCAGGCATTCTAGTTCCAGTGCTGAGAGAACTGGGGTCAGTGCTATTGCCCGCAGCGAGTGAGCAAGCTGGTCAAGTTCAATCTTACCTGCAAGGCCACTGCCCAGGCTGACTCAGAGAGGCTGCCTGCCAGGCTGTGGGGAGGTCTCCTGAGGACTCAGATGTTCCCCTCGGGGGACAAGGGGCTAGGCAGGAGGGGAGTCTGGAGGGAATTCCATGGCTATTCCCTTGGTGCTAGATGTGGACCCCAAGTGCCCAGGAGCCTGAGGTACCCGGGCACATGGGCTGGCCCTCACTGCTGGGTCACAGAGATGGGTGCTTGTCCTGCTGCCAGGAGAGGGTGTTCCCCTCTCTTCGTTCTCTCAACAGACGTTCAGACTTCATGACCACTAGGCCCCAGAGCCGGTACACCAGGAGCAGGAATCAGGCTGGGTCCCCAGTGGACTGGTTTCACCTCTCCCTGTCTCCCCCTTACTCTTTCTCTCTGTGCCCACCACCTCTCTCTCTCTCTCATCTCTCCTGCTTGGACTTCTATCCATGGCTCCTGGTTCTGTGACCACTGACCTCCTGCCCACTCTCTTGGCCAGGACCAAAGAGAATGGGTCAGACCGCGACCCGCTGCACCCTGACCCCCTCAGCAAACGGCCGTGCACCCTGAGCCCTGCCCAGCGCTTCAGCCCCAGCAATGGGCTGCCCCACCCCACGCCGCCACACTACCGCCTCGAGGACATGGCCTTGGCCCACCACTCCCGTGACTCCTATCGCCACCCTGACCCCCGGGAGCTTCGGGAGCGCCATCGGCAACTCAGTGAGCAGTGTTCTGGGGGCAGGGGTTGGCATGTGTGGGCATGTTAGTAGGAGCACACGTGCACCTGTGTGTGGGGAGAGCGTTCAGGAGCCACTGTGTGCACATGTCAAGACGCAGAGGAGATGGGCGTAGAGAAAGGATGTGAGTGGGGAACTGGCCCCAGGGCCCAGAGGGGATCCCCACCCTGGCCGGAAGCTTCTGAGAGAGAGCCATCTTTCCCGGACCTCCATCTGGGGGGCAGTTCAACATCCTCACCCTCAGGGCCCAAAAGGTCCCTTCCCTCCCAGGGGATACGATTGTGAGTGTGCCTGTCCTGGGGCCCCGACTGGACGGAGGCAAGCACAGACGGGTATGGGGCCTGGGGGACCTAGAGCCACTCAGTGTGCCCTTGGCCCCTGAACAGGTGTGTCATCTCGTTATAGAGACAAGAAAAGGGAAGCCTTTCCTCTGAGCTCTGAGGACTCCCTGTGATACACCCTTGGGCAGGTCACGTGACCTCTGTGCCTGTTTCCTCCTCTGTTGGCGGGCTCTAACAGGAGTCTCACCCTCAGGGTCGCGTAAGGACCGAGGGAGTTAATCCCGTGCAGAGTGGGGGCTGTGTGGCCAGCTGTTATTGATGTTACAGACAGTCCTCGGGTTCTGTCCGACTCGACGTACGTCATTTCATGGTTACGTCGCCCTCTCCCATTTACAGTATTTATTTAAAAAAAAAAAAGTTCCATCATTTCAACATATGTACATATGTGCTTTATGTTTATTATTTACTTACCACAAGTAAAGGTCAGGAATTGTTATCTTTCTTTTAATTTTTTTTACTGTTTCACTTCCTTCCTGCTGTGTATGTGCTCCGTGTGAGCGACGTAGGTGCTTATGTAGGTGAGTTCCGACTTACGGCGAAAATCACGTTATGTCGCGCCGTGGGAACGGATCTCCGACGTAACCCGAGGACCCACTGCAGTGGGGAAAAGTCTAGGGTGGAGCACTCACCTCTTGCTTGCATTGTATCCTTAACTCCGTTCTTAAAGGGGGCCGTGACGTGTTCTCATATATGTGTGATACGTCAGCACACCAGATCACAGATGAGGAGACTGAGGTCCAGAGATCATAACTGACATGCCCAAAGTCTTCTGGCCACATCTGCCTGACCACTGACCATCCCTGGGGGACAAAGAGATGAACAGGACCAGCTCCTACCCAGAGTATTGGGGGACAGCCTAGAAACAGCAGCCTCTAAGATAGAGGCCCAGGACACCAAAAGGGGGCCCAGAGGCAGGGTCAGCAGAGGCCTCACTCCATACAAGGCCGTCTCCTCGCCCCCACCCCGCAGAAGCTTCCAGGGCCCTGGCCCAGGCAGCAGGTGACAGTGTCTGGCTCCCTGTGGCCGGGTCAGGCAGGTGCTATCCCCACCCGCTTCTGCTAATGCAAAAATAGACACCAGCTGTTGGGCAGATCTCAGCCACTATTTTGGTTGGGGCGTTGGCGAAAGCTCTGGCTCCGCGGGCAACGGGGCAGGGCTGTGGACAGCGGATTGTGGCTGCCACCTCCCACCCCTTCGGCAGTTTGGAGAGGCATTTTGAGTTTGTGGGTCCAGAAGACCCTTAGGAGCTGAAGAAAGCCTACATAGAGAGACCTTAACCCAACAGCATTCATGGGCACTGCATCGCCCAACGTAGGCACCCAAAACACTGGGGGCAAGAGCACTGGGTACGTCAGAAACTGTGAGAGGAGCCGTCGTGGGGACAGGTGCTGCTGCACTTGTGCTCATTTCACAGCTCACGATGGTTCTGTTTCTGATTGGGAGAACAATTGTTTCAGTCCCTGGAGCCATACCAGCCAGTGGCTGAAGGCACAGCTCTGCTCAGGCTGACCTTGGGTGACCTTGGGCAAACATGTCCCCTTAGGCAGCCTCCGTTCTCTCAGTTCTCTGAGTTCTCTGTAAATTGGAAATGGCAGCACTGTCTCCTTCAAGGTCAATGAGGGATGAAAGGTGTAGAGCACTTGGCGCAGAGCTGCTTGTACCAGGCTCTCCCCACCAATGTGCCTCCTATAAGTCTTCTCACGCCCCCTGAGATAGGTGAGGTAGGGAAACTGAGGCCTGGAGAGGGAAATGAGGGTCCCAGGTCCCGTGGGGAAGGATCGTCAGGACGACTGGCTTCCTGAGCCCCCTGTCTCCCAAGAGACCACAGTTGGACTGGTTCACTTGAGACCCAGCAGATAAGCTGGGGCACTTGCTGGGTCTCATGGAACTTAAGAAATTCTGAGGGCCCAGAGCTACTGGGGAGGAAGGGCTCGAAACCTGGGCTTTGACGCATGCATAGGAGTCCAGCTGGTTGAGAGGAACCGGTAAAGCCTGGCTGAAGCCCGGCAGTTGACACACGGAGGCCCTGAGAGCTTCTGAGCATGGTGGGACCCCAGAAGTGAAGTCTGAGTCTGGCTTTGTTGGCAGCAGCGGGCAGAAAGAGTGAGAACAATGGGTTTTGGAGGTAGGGAGGCAGGGGAAGGGTGGCCAAAGCTAGAGCAAGGATTGAGGACATGGGTCTTTTACTCCAAGCCTTCAGCAGAGGCCAGGCCTGTTCCTTTCTTCACCCTCCCCATCTTACCCGGGTGGGCACAGCCTATGGAGGATCTAGCCCAGGGCGGAGCTTGGGGGGAGTGTGGGGTAGGGCCTGGGAGCATGGGGTGGGGCCTGAGTGTCCCCTCTCCCCCTGCAGTGGTCCATGGGTCACGGCCAGAGGAAGTGATCGACCACAGGCTCACTGAGCGCGAGTGGGCTGAGGAGTGGAAGCACCTCAACAACGTGAGTGTCCAGGCCAGGGCACAGGTGCCACAGTCCGCCCAACCGGTGGGGCTGTGGGGACAGGGCTCGGGCGGGCTCCCCTTGGCTCTATGCCCACCTGGGGGGCATGGGGCAAGGCCTTGGGGAGAGTGGGCCCTGGGAGCATGGGGGTAAGGGGAACACCCATCTCAGCCCACCCTCCACTTCCCGGTCCGCCCCTCAGAACCTTCCCTCCTCTGCCCCTGCAGAGTCTCCGGAAGGTCACTTGGTGGAGGGGTGGGATCTCTTCAGCACCATTTCCAGGTTCATCCTTGGCCCTGCTTCCTTTTAGGGGAAAAACTAGGCAGAAGGTGTGGTCCCAGAGTGGTGCCGGCAGACTGCACCTTAAGGTTTGCAAGGAGGGCCCCATACAAAGACTTAAGCCCCCGCCCCTCATGGCCAAACCTCATGGACAGTGGCTTGGCCAAGGCCCAGGAGTGTGGGAAAAGGGCCCTGCATGCTTAGGCCGCCCGCCCCCCCACCGCCCACAGCTCCTGAACTGCATCATGGACATGGCCGAGAAGACGCGGCGGTCCCTCACCGTGCTGCGCCGGTGCCAGGAGGCTGACCGCGAGGAGCTCAACCACTGGGTCCGGCGCTACAGCGATGCTGAGGACACCAAGAAGGGCCCCTCGACCACCACTGCCCGGCCCCTCAGCAGCTCGACAGGAGCAGAGGGGTCTCAGCTAGGTGCGTGCTGCTGGGGCTGGGAGGGGACAGAGGGAGTGGCGTGGCGGAGAGAGCAGCACGGGCGGTACAGGGGCTACAGGGCGCATGAAGGGGGTGCCCGGGACCATAGGCAGCAGGGCCCACATACAAAGACACTGCCTGACCCACTGGGAAGCAGACTCAAATCCCAGTGGCTCAACACACTGAGCAGGCAGAGGTGGCAAATATGGGGGAGATAACAACGCAGAGCCCTGGACCCACAGGAAGCCCGGACTCAGAGTTCTGTGGGTCTGCACTCATCCCCTGGGTGATGGCCATGGAAACCAAGAGGGGCTCAAGATGGGCCCGGCTCCCAGTCAGGTCCAGAGCACCCACCTCCATGACGCTGTCCTGCCCCCACCCCAGCAACTGATACCGCGTTTCTACCCATGAGTACCTCGGACCCCCGCCAAGAACACACTCACACATGGCCCTGTGGCCCCGTCCTGTGTGTGACACTGGCCCCTGTGTTTCAGACGTGCACCGGGAGTTCATGCCTAGGACCCTCTCCAGCTACATGCCCGAGGAGATCTGGAGGAAGGCTGGTGAGTGGGGGCAGGGGGGCGGAAGCTGGGGCCTGCAGGCCTAGACTAGACCCTCTTGCCCTCTCTGCAAGGAGCCTCTGGTAGGGGGCTCACCTGGCCCCAAGCTCAGGGGGAAGTTCACAGGGCTTCACAGATGGGGCTTATGGAGGGGTCACGGTGCATTTAGTATCCAGAGTAGGACGATTGCCACCCTCACCTGCCAGGGAACACCACGCTCAGTAAAACAAGCAGGGCCTCAGGCCCAACATGCACACGAGTGTGCACAGACACACACACATACGAGACAGGCACTTAGAGCTGGAATCTGGGCATAGTGTTGAGCATGGCAATGGGAATGCTGCGGGGGACATTCATGGCATCGTGGGAACACTTTGGGGAGAGGCTGGGCAGGAGCTACAGCCTGTGGGCAGCGAGAGAGAGGCGGGCTCAAGGGCGGTGGCAGTGCAGAGAAGACACAGGATCCCTTTTTTAAAAAAATATATTTTATTGATTTTTCACAGAGAGGAAGGGAGAGGGATAGAGAGTTAGAAACATCAATGAGAGAGAAACATCGATCAGCCGCCTCCTGCACATCTCCCACTGGAGATGTCCCCGCAACCCAGGCACATGCCCTTGACCGGAATCGAACCTGGGACCTCTCAGTCCGCAGGCCGATGCTCTATCCACTGAGCCAAACCGGTTTCGGCAGGATCCTGATATGTTTGGATTCGTGGGATAGATTCAGTGTAGAGTATGATTTAGAGGGAGGCAGTCTTAGGATTTTGAAAGCAGAGTGGAGGGTCCCAGCTCAGAGTTGGAGGCTAAAGGGCCAGGCAGGCAGCAGCCGCCCAGGTCGAGGCAGGAGGGTGGCTTGGACGGGGAGAGGCAGGTCCTCATTTCCCTTGGCTGTCCCCTTCACCTCCCTCTGGCCCACAGCAGGGCCTCATGGGACCCTGGGTGACAACCATGTGGAGCTCGGGTGGTGACATGGGGACAGGTGGCTGCAGTTGGCATTGCCAGCAGCTCAGCACACAGTGTGCAAACACTTGGAACATCAGGCTCAAGGGTCATCTCTGCCCCTTGTATCCCACCCCAGCCTCCTTCACACCATGCTGCAAGAACAGCACTGCCAGGTAAACTGAGGCAGGCCTGAAAGGCCTTCGGGGTTGGCTTAGAGGGGGCAGAGGGGTCCATATTGTTCCCATTGTCAGAGGGCAGGGTGCCATGAGCAGACGCTCTGGCCACAGTAAAAACAATCCACTGACTCCTCATACATGAACAGGCAGAGGTGGTAAATGTGGGGGAGATCATAGGGTTTTGGGGGAAATAATGCAGAGCCCTAGACCAGGCATTCCCTGGATTGCATCCAGACAGGCCACAGGGGAAGGCAGACTGTCTGTGGGGCAGGACAATACAGCTGTGGTTCTCAAAGTGGGTGCCAAGACCAGCAGCAGCAGCAGCACTTGGAACTTGTTGGGAATGCAGAGTCTAGGGCCCTCCCCAGGCCCCCTGCATCAAATCTGTCACTGCTGCTGGAGTTTGAGAACACTGCTGGAGATGAGCTTGGAGATTTGCTCCATGGCCATGCTTGCACACAGATGCAGGGATGCATGTGGTCCTTATGCACAAGCCCGGCCCCCGGGGTTATGAGCTGGAGGCCCAGGAGACCTGGGTAGGCCGGCCCACGTGACCATGGCCACATGTCCTCTGCAGAGGAGGCGGTGAATGAGGTGAAGCGGCAGGCAATGTCTGAGTTGCAGAAAGCTGTGTCAGATGCCGAGCGGAAGGCCCACGAGCTCATCAGCACAGAGCGCGCCAAGATGGAGCGGGCCCTGGCCGAGGCCAGGCGGCAGGCCTCGGAGGATGCCCTCACTGTCGTCAACCAGCAGGAGGACTCCAGTGAGGTAGGTGCCCACCCCACACCCCACCCCAAGTCCAAGTCCGGGGCTGTTGCGCCATCTTGGCATCCCCATGAGCTCTCAGGGCCTCTTGACCCCACACAGCCTGGTGAGAAGGGTCCTGTGGGTGTCCCCATTGTACAGATGAAACTGAGGGGTCTGGGGGGAGGTAGCTTGCCCTGGGAAGTGGCAGGGCCTTGATTTGCAGCCAGGCTCGCAGACACCGGAGCTCATGCTCTCTAACCTGGGAAGCAGGAGGCAAGAGGAGGATGTAAAGACCCCAGGTGGCATCTATCCACCTCCTCAGCTCCCGGCACATGCGCACATGCGGGAGGGTGTGAGATTATTATCGTGCTGGTGTTTGACATGAAGCCTGCAGCACTTCCGGCTGTGGACCTGTGTGGGAAGGAGGTGGGGTGTCAGTCAGGGCCCCCTCGCAGTGCCGTCTGAGCAGTCCTGGAGGAAGTGACCCAGCATGCAGGAATCGGGGAACAGTGTCACCCCAGGAGGGAGCAGCAGGGACAAAGGCCAGATGGGGGCAGGCACAGCTGGCGGAGTGAGGACTGCAGGAGACTGAGGTGGCCGAGCCAGAGTGAGCCAGGGACAGCAGGAGCTGTTGGCGCCCAAGAGGCTTTGGAGGTTAAATGGGCACCTGGGCCTGTCCCCGTGGCAGGTTTGTGTCTCTGTTGCATAGCCTGGGGCTGCCCCAGTATCCCTGCCCACCTTTTACTCACATGGCCGGCTGGCTTATGTTTGTTCCACAGAAGCCCAATGGTAGGGGAAGGATGTGACCGAGGCAGGCCTCGCATGCACCCCACGTTGGAGCGTGGCCATCTTTGTTCTTCCGGGGCCCCTACATTCTGTGTTGGAGCCCTGGTGGGGCAGGAGGGCTGCCTGAAAGAGAGGGAAGGGGCAGTGGCTCCCTGCCCTCATGAGGACCCCGTGGTCCTGTAAGCCCAGCATGAACCTCTCTGGGTGGGCTAAAGGTGTGCAATGTAGTCGTGCGAGCCCATTCCCCCAAAATGCCCCACGCAAGGGGCCATGTTGGCCAACGGGCACCACAAGCTGTAGCACTGTGGGGTCTCACTTCACACCCTGGCTGGGTCCAAGCCCATTTGTGTAGAGGGTATCTTTCCCCATTCTGCAGCTGGGCTGGGGACGTGGGGGATTTGGAGTGGCCCCGCCCTGACCATCTCCTCCACCCAATCCAGAGCTGCTGGAACTGTGGGCGCAAGGCCAGCGAGACGTGCAGCGGCTGCAACGCAGCACGCTACTGCGGCTCCTTCTGCCAGCACAAGGACTGGGAGAAGCACCACCACGTGTGCGGCCAGAGCCTGCAGGGGCCCGCAGCCGTGGTGGCCGACCCGGTGCCAGGACAGCCCGACG